ACCGACTGGCCAAATGCCGCTTGCACCTCATTTATCACCGTCGAGTGTGCATCACTCCACATCTTAATGTTCACCACGTCATCGTCACTATCAACCGTGGTAAACTGAGCATTCGGCAACAGGAAATGATCGTGACCCTTCTGTATGAACAAATATCGGTTGCCATCCTGACGAACAAAGTTCATCGCCTTGAGTGCCGCCATATTAATCAACGGCGTGGCACCCAAGGGGACCATCATCGTCACATCCACCCCACAAAACATAGCAATGGGTGTAATCAAGCCACCCACGCACACGACCCGCGACTCGACTATGGCCGCCTCCCACAAATGCGTCGCAACCCACTTCCTGGTAGGTCCGGGCTTACTCTTCAACATGCACCAAATGGCAGTAAGCTCTCGGAGAGAACAACCACCCATCTCTCCTCTAGCGAATATGGTGCTCGCCACTGCTTTCTGCAAAAACCTCAACACCGGATTGCGTATGGAGGTTGCTTTGGCCGACTTTGGGATGTAGCTCGGGGCGGGGTGTGATGGAGTCCCGGCTATCAAACTCCACACATCATGGGAGTTAAAGAACGACGGTATGCTAGGGTCGTCCGAGGCTTGATATATCTCTTTCTCCAATGTTTTTGTATCGAGAGTATAGTTCTTATTTTGAAGACGAAATTTCATTGTCTTCACCATATGATCGTAGCTCGTCTTCTCGACTTCCAAAGTAGCAAGGAACTCCAATGTAAGACCGACATACGTCGGCCATTTTTGCGTCATCAAATATTCCCATCCGGCTCTTCGAATTAGCTTGACAACATCATCATAGAGGCCAAGGGTGACTAATGCCTCTTCGTCCACGTACCTCGTTGCCACCAAACGCAAATTGGAAAGTGTTTTCCACCGCGCCTTTTCCTCATCCGTCTTCAATCGAACGCTTAAGGTTGACGGTTGTATAGCCGCCCCCAGTATAACATTGGCGTCCGAACCCCTTGCTCGTCCTCTACCTCCCGAGCTTCTACCTCCACGATTCATTATATCCTACGACAAATAGATAATACCAAATTAGTCACAAAACAATTCATCTCAATATAACATCAACATTATCCCTATGAAAAAGAGTGCACCATAGCAACAAGTTCCTTCAAGCTTCATGTAAACAACTCAAATATCAATCAAAGTATCATGCCGAATGACCAAGAGCATAATCAAACCACAATTGAAGCACATATCAATGAGAAATTCGAATTCAACGGTGCCCACCACGTGTTCGATAATTTGCTCAAACAAACTTCTTCAACAAACTCAACAATATCAACCCACAAGAACACCATAACATCAAGCAATACAATACTCCACATCAAGATAGAAAACAAGCACAAAACACATACCAAATTCATGAAGAGAATGCAAATCTCGAGCCTACTCCCAAATTGAGTTCTAACTCTTCTTTGAAGTTCCAAAAGAGAGCAATAATGGCACAACTATGGACTTATGGATGTAAGTGAATGATTTAAGAGACGAATTTAAGGACGAGAAGGCCTAGATTTGCAATTTTTTTGAAAAAGGATTGGTGTTCTAGGGTTTATGAGGGGAATGGGACGAAATTTTCCTAAGGCAAAGTGAGAGGATTATGTTTTAAAAAGGCTGTTGTTGCCGCGACACGGGCCGTGACACGGTCAGGCAGCTCGTGTCGCGGGTCTTGTCGCGGCCCTGGTATCATTTTTTTTTTTCACGTGACACGGGTCCAAAAACTTGTTCGCCTATATTTTTAAAGCTCGACCGCAAGTGTACGGCTTCGCTCGTAGTATGTGGCAAGCAAGGTCGTATCCCAAGGGACCAAACAACCAATTAATCAAGTACTAGGTTATGATAGTGCCAATTTTATCTAGACAACCGAATATAAGAGTGATTAACTAAACTAAGAAAATAATTCAAAAGATAAGAAATCAATAACAAGAAAATAACTAGAAAAACACTTTAAGAAGAATATATGGGAATGGTAGATTCTAAGACTATGGGTTCAATTAACAGTTGGGTTCCTTCAAATATATCACAATTAACTATTTTCTTTATCTACCCTATAAGATGATCACAAAATTAGCCTATCGTCCCTCTCGAGATCGATAAAACCGTAGATTAAATTACATATATTAGCGTCTCCACTCAACACATGCAATTCAACTCCAAAAAGATTAAAAGATCTAAAATCCTCACAATTACCTACTAATCTCTCGATTCAAGCAAGTAAATTGTGTCAAATATTAAAGACCTAATATTGAACTCATCTCTCGAATTATGAACAATATTGTCAAACATGTAAAAGAATTGATCAAGTTCTAAACATGGAATAAGAACAAAATACTTGAATAGGGTTCAAAAGAAAAACAATCAATTATAAATAAATCATCCAAAATCCCAACATATTAATCTACTACCATGTCTTAGAATCAAAGAAATCTAGCTACTCATGTTCGAATTCAAACACATAGACATATTCAAAATCAACATGAGAAAATAAGTTCAAAAGCGAGAAAGAAAAACTAGAAATTTTGTGGTTGATCTTCTCTTCTTCCCAATTGCTTCTCTTGTGTGTTCTCTAGCTCCCTTCCTTGCGTAATCACGTTCTAGAGCTCAAGATCAGGTAAATAGGTCTTTTTATATGTCCAAAAGTCCTCTCCTAAGCGAAAAAGGTAAGCGATTAAAAACTGCCCGCGTCGCGACACGGCCTGACATGCCCGTGTCACGGGTCGTGTCACAGGTCGTGTCAGGTACCTGGGGTTCGAATTCTTTCTGTTGAGGTGACATGGGTCGTGACACGACCTAGGAGCACGTGTCACAGGTCGTGTCACACCACAGCATGCACATTTTTGTCCTTTTTGTTCGTTTCTTCTATTTTTCTCATCCGTGCATCAATCCTTCATCATCCTGGGGGTCCTAGGTACTCCACGTGCACCTCCAATAGCCACAAGCTCTACAAATATGTGAAAATATCTACAAAACAAGCACGCGTAATACCTTTCCGACAAATAGAGAATTAAAGCACAAATATGCAATTTATACACCACAAACGCAACAATTAAGCTCTAGATACTATATGAATATGGTGTAAAATCACACATGAACACTCGTCACCGTCGATCCAATCGCGGCGCCGTTCGTCACCCGCAAAACCTGGTCGCCCCCTCCCCCCCTGACGGTGCTGGTTGTCACCATCAGGCAACTCGCGATGCATGATGAGCCTGCGATTTTCGACAAAGAATCGAAGGTTCTTGAGGTGCATGTCTCGGGGGACGTAGGAAACGCGCTTATCCTTCGTCGATTTCTTTTGTCCCTGCACGTCACTTCCACTGATGAGGGCCTGCGTTGGCATATTTTCGAACCTACGTGTACCGTGGGCGGCCTCGTGTGACGTATTGTTATTGATTCCGGGTCCTACATTCTTGTGATCTTGGACGAGGCCGTGGAGAAGCTTAGGTTGTTAACTGAGCCGCATCCAGATCCTTATGCTCTCGCGTGGATAAAGCGTGACAACATTGTCCTTGTTAATCGGCGTGTCTTAGTGTCTTTCTCTATTGGATCTGCATATAAGGATGAGGTGCGGTTAGCATCTTTTATTATGACGTCCTTGGCTGTTTGATCATGTCGTGGTGCATGATGGGCGCCTTAACACGTATTATGTTTGAGGGCACCCGCTTTGTCTTACATCCCTCGCCCCCTGTTCGGTTCCTTTACAACAGTCGTTGGCGGCAGCGTCTTTTCTCGCGATGGGCCGCGTGGAGACTTGGTTGGACCGTTAGACGGTCATTTCGTGATCTTCGACGTAGGCGATTTTGTGTGGGTTGTTTTTCCGGCAGACAATTAGATTGGTTTCTATGAGATCCTTGAACGACTCACACATGATACTTGTCGTCTTCGCTTGCCATCTCATAAGCGTTTATCTTATGGTTTTCACGTAATAAAGTTGCCTATTTGCACGATGACGACTCGAACGGAGACCAGATCAATTCGAATTCAAGGAC